TGGTACTACTATAAGGCGATGCAGCCAATATTTTAAATATTCTTGTCGGATAACAAAATGGTTGTGGCTGCAATTATCGTGACAACAGGGCCGGGCTTGTACACATTGTTGTGAAACATTTGTATGGGACCCCATTTTATGGAGCTCCCTATTTTAAAAAAAAATCTTATGTGTATATGATGAAAACCTCCCAAGGAATACACTCTGAAATTAGTAAGGGATAAGCTTTGCACCGAATGAAGCAGAAAGCAACAAACAATCAAGGGATGTGGATCGACGGGTGACATAAGAGGTGTGGAAAGTCTCCTGATACTACCCTATAACAATCTCCCTTGGATATGACGCACCAAGTTTGATTGAGTTAGATTGTAGGATATTACACATCGACAATCATAAAAATCTTGACCAATGGATATTACATACCATGATCGAAAACAAGTTTGAGAATCATTCTCAAGGTTTCTAAAAATATAAACTCACTCATATATTATTTCAATAGCTATTACAACTTATTTATAATAAAACTAAACTTGTTCACAAAGCTAGATATTTATTACATGGGAAATGATAAAATAAGTGCATGGAGAAGAGAGAAGGTTCTTGAAACAAGCATTCCTTGCATGTAAAAGAGGGAAGCTTTCCATGCAATTAACCACTTAATTTTCGTCACTTATCTTGGACAGCAAAGAAACCACTTGTTTATGAATTGCTTTGGGCTTGTAACTTGATAAAAATGGACTTGACATCTTAGCTAACATCATGGACCAATTTCTGAATGTCTTTCATATCAATATCTTCATATATCAGCCCAATATCACATCAGTATATATAAGTACTTACTTAGCAAGTGTATAACAAATAAAAATTAGGAAACTAGTTTATAAATGTAATAATAAAGTAGTAAGAAAGTTACACATTATTTTTTTTAACAACTATTTATTTAAATAAAATGTAGAGTTACAAAATAAGTATAAAAATCACAGAATTACAATTCAATGCAAAACTAAGATTATAAAACATTAAAGCACAAAGAAAAAGATCCGAAGAAACTATCTTGTGGACTATCTTCTTTCTTCTTATGTAACACCATCTCCATTTGGCTACCATCTTTTTGATGAAAATCCAAATTCTTCTTCGTAGATTTCTTTGTTGTATAACATTGGCCAGATTCCAAATAGGATCTATGAATATTCTATGAGAAGAAATCCAATTTATTGATTCTTTCAAAAGATATAGTAAAAGAATCTGCCAATTTTCAACGATTATAAAAACATCACCATACAACAAAGAAATTGTGTTTTTAGTGAAGAACCACCAATAAATATTTTGAATTATAATCTTCAAATGCTTTGAATACCTTTGTGGTTGCATCACCATGGACAATTTCAGACTACGATTATGAGATTGTCCATTGTTTTGGAATTCTCCGTCTTCGTCTTCGATACACTTTTTCCATGGTGGTTTCCATGGTAATTGTTTCCAGAGCAGAGCGATTAGAATGAGTTCTTTATCGCTTGGATCTGAATTCAACACAAATGTATTTTTTGTGTTGTCATCGAACATGGAGTACATGTCGGAGATTGAAACGACAAATTGGGAAAGATGGTTAAAATCCAATTTGCCATGAATGAATATGATATTCTTCACTATTAAAGAGAAGAATAAAATAAAGAGAAATAATTTTGAAATATGATCGTGAGATGTCATCACAAAGACACACTCGTTTTGATCTTTTAGAAGAGGAAAAGGATTTGTTTAGGCTTTCGAAATCATAAAAGAAAGAGAAATATTAGATGAGGGGAATCAATCGAAAACGCTCGGTGAAAATGGCAGAAAAGTGGAGATTGAGGCAATCGCCTTCATGATCGCCACGTAACTGCTCTCTCTCTGCGGTTTTGTTTTAAAGCGTTACTGTAAACTGTTCTCTCTGTCTCTAGAAAGTTACACATTATTATGGTTAGATAAAACCAGATTAATGGTGAAGTTAAAATAAAGAAAATTTGTTGTAAAAAATGTTAGTTTTAGTTTTACTATTACATCTTTCAAAGATATAAAATGTTTTTGTTTTGATTGATATTTTTATTTAGGTATTATTTCTTATTCAGTAGTTATTTATATATCATTTTATTAATAAACTATGATTTGTTAAATAAATGTTTTATAAAAGTTATAAATATATAGATTAATATGTATCTTTTATATATTTTGAATAGAACCTCCAAAATAGTGGGGACCGGCTCCGTGTGACATTAATGAACGAACAATGATGACAAAGAGAGCTGTATTATGAAATCTACATACTGAAAGTAGTAAATGATTGAGTATGAAGTTATAATGGGTAAAACAAGCTGTCAACACAAACTTACAAAGCCTTTTATCTAGTGAACAAGAACAGCGTATGATGAAGTATAGGTAGGTACAAACATAAGTTAGATTTCAACCAAAAAAATTCTCACTGCTATAGCACATGCATGTAACAAACCCATCTTCGTCTTAGTAAGTTTCATAAATCGAGTCCAACAGAGCAGCTACAAAAGAGAGACAAAGGCTAATAAAAGAACAAATCAAACAATTTTTTTTGTCTAAAAAACATTACAAACTAGACAAAAAATCGTCTGTTTGAGGCAAAGTGTTGTTGATGACGGATTTGCAAAGAGACAATTGTAATGTAACACTCAAGATAGATGAACTGACCAACCAACATATATCTTGGATCCAAAAACCTAACACTTGAAACATAATGTTACAGGAAATAAGTTTTAGGTTATGCCATGGACATTTGGTGTAATTGATCTGGTTATAATTTCATTATCTCAATTTCGGTTAACATGTTGGTTGGTTTATCCGTTTACTAGGTAAGAGTTTACTCTTTTTTTTTGGCACACAGGTAAAAGTTTACTCATTTGGGATTAATCAATCACACACATAAACAATATCTTCTTAAACTTAATTTCTCAATTTCAGCATTATCATCTTTCATCATCAAAATTCAGGTCTCTCCGCCGTGCCCGCTCAAGATAATTAAAAGTCCCATAACAAAAAAGAAAATTTGAAGGCATTTTAATAATTCTTTAAATAACATTCTAGTATCGTTTTCTTAAAACTATTTTGTACAGAGTTTTCATGACATTTAGGTTATGAATGGAAAGGCAGAATAAGTGCAGATCTCCCGCTTATGTAGTTCTCATGCACTGCTTTTGCCATTTATCATTTTCTGTTTCTAAAGGCAGTTCAAGCAGGAGATCTGCATGCAGTTCAATATTTTCTGTGTTTTTGTGAAAAAAGCAGGAGATCTGCATGCAGATCTCACCCGCTAACATTTGTAGGTGTTGATCTGCCTTTTTCACTAATAAATGATTTTACTATAAACACTAAATTTAAATATATTTATCTGATTTTATAAATAATGTACAAAGATTAACTCAAACTATATAGTTCACACCAATATTATTTGTGTCATTTTAAAATTATAAATATGACATTCAATCGCCTACAAAACACAATATTTTCCAAAGAAAAAGATATAATTTTTCTACATAAAATGAGTATTTTATTAAGCTGTACAATATTTTCAACAAAAAAATACAAATTTTTCTATATAAATATCAAAAAATAGTTTAATATTAATAACATGCTAGTTCTTCAAAGATAATTTTGTTCAACTAAAACATAAATAAAAAAAAATACAAGCATCTTATGAAAAATTCAATTAATATTTCGGTTGATCTTACAACATATAAGATATTTATTTGATATTTTAATATAATTTTTATTGTTTAAATATATGATTTATAGTTTTGAACTGATTTTATCATTCATAATATATAATAAATAGTTTGATCTGCATCTCTCCTGCATGATCCGTTTGATCTGCACTTGTCCCGCTTGATTAGCATCTGTCCTGCTTGATCTGTATGAACCGCTTGATCTGCATCGCTTGATCTGTTTTTACCATTCGAAAAGAACAAAAGAAATATATGTATATTTATCTTTTTATTAAAATTAAATTTGTTTTGTAATTATTAAAAACTTGAATTATATCTCTAATATCATAGGCCTCTGAACGGTCACATCGCTAACCCCTACTATTCCTTCGAGGTGATTTTCCTATCTTCATAATCAGTTTGAGACATTGGTTAATGGGTTCTTAGCATTCATAGGAGCTCCTAGTTTGGAATTTATCCTATCTTTGGTTTCCTGTTATACATAACGACTCAAGATTATCTCCAAAAAACAACATTCAATTACATGCTTGCATCCTTTTTCCATAATACTTTTAACCGGTTCTCGCTCTCTGCTCAACTTATTCAATTCGGTTTGCTTATAGCTTCTCCACATATTGCCTCTCCGGTTCAACATAAAAAAATCTAAATCATCGGAATATGAACCTATTATGATACAATTTTATAACCACATTGATACTTTAAAGATCCAAGCTACTAATAATAGTTCGGATGATAATTAGATCGTTTTTGGGTAACACACATGAACCATTCGTTACACCTGTTAGAAATTCCACTAGAAATCCAACGGTCACCATTATATATGTATATATCTGTCGAAATAAAGCTAAAACTAATTAACAATCCAACGGTTAACAAGAAACAACATCCCGCACGATCTAGACCGTACAAACACAAACGACGATACGCAATCCAACGGTTATGGAGTACCATCGATCAAAAGAGGTTGTTGATCGAAAAAGACATTTTAGTTCGAGGGATTATTATTTTACTCCCTCTGTTTTAATATAAGTGTCACTCTACAGCTATGCACACGGATTAAGGAAACAATTAATTTTACATATTTTCTATATAAAAACACAATTACCCACACACCTAACCATATTTTAACCAATAGAAAAACAAATTACATAATAAAATTAATAAATTTTACATTGAAAACCGAAAACGACACTTATTTTGTAACACAAAAAATTCTCTACAACAACATTTAATATAAAACGGAGGGAGTATTATTTATCCATGATCCGATCCGGTTTACTCGTTGACCCGGACGGACACGTCAGACGCGAGCCGTGACGCGATCGCGGAATGATACATGACTTCGTGGAACGTGGAGACTTGTGCAATTTTCATGCGGAGTTGCTTAGCCTTCTCCTCCGTGAGACACCTTCGCGTAGTTTTATCCAGATCTGATTCCAGATTCACGGAGGAGCTGTTATTGCTGTTGTTGTTATTCACGTAATCTGGTTCCGATGACCAGCCGAAGAGAGGAGCCCACCATGAACCGGGTTTCTTTCCGGTCTGATCCGGTTTTCCGGAAGAGGCACGGATCGAAGGGAGAGCGGAGCAGGAGATGATTGTAGCCATTGTAATGGATCGTGAGATTAATCAGAAAACGTAAAGAGTGTTTGATTATTTGGGGAAGGAGATAAAGAATGTGGATTGGTTATTAAATTTAGATAAAATGGATTAGGTATTTATAGTGTGGGTTGCGCAACGGAGGGGTATTTTCGGGAAGAATGTACAACGTTGAAAGCTAGTTGCACCACGATAACTAGGGTGGAGATGAGGGTAGTGGATTATTGTTGTTTCTTTTAGTAGATGTGGATAAGATTGATGGCGTGGAGCTGAGCAGCGTTTTCTTTTTTTGCCAATTGGGCAATGTCTCCATCTGTTGCACTTTTTGCCTATTTTTTTTGTTTATGTATATTGCGATATTTATTTTTGGATTTTTTTTTCCATTTTGATTATGTCCAAGTAGACGTCTGTATTCATTGGACATATTATTCAATTATTTTTTTAAAGAAAATGAGGGAGTCTTGTATTCATTGGACATATTATTCAATTATTTTTTTAAAGAAAATGAGGGAGTCTTGTATTCATTGGACATATTATTCAATTATTTTTTTAAAGAAAATGAGGGAGTCTTGTATTCATTGGACATATTATTCAATTATTTTTCAAAGAAAATTAGGGAGTCTTATAATCAGTTTTTCTTTTCATCATCAGTTTTGTTTACGTATTCGTAAACGTCATATCAAATAATGCTTCAACTCATTTAGCAAAAAAAAAAAAGAGTTTCAATTCGTAAAAAAAAAAAGTGCATACAAAATGAGTATTTGCATCTTCATTCATTGTCAAGAGTTACGGAAGCCTGAACCCATTAACATATAGGATTTACTTGGGCTAATATTTGATTAACATGTTTATCTTCTTACATAAAACCCACTAATCATTTCCTCATTACAAGTGTAAAGTACAGTTTGACACGTGTGTAACGTCTAGTTTCTCACGTGCGAGTTAAGCAAGTAGGAGTGACCAATTTGGAATTAGCAATCTCTAATCTCTCCACTAAAAAAGGTTCGAATCGGTGAAGAGGTTTGGCTAATTGTCGCAGGTGTGACCTGAGATCACAACACAAACAATCTCTACTCGAAACCCCCCTGAGTCACCATCAAGATGTGGAGAAGAATCGTCTCATCTGGTCTCAAAACCCTAGCCGCCGATGTCGCCGTCGCTTCTCATCCTCCTCGATCGATAGCCGCCGCCGCGAGACCGGCAGGCTTCTATCTATCTGCCGATCGATCAGCCGTTTCTGCTTCTTCTTCCTTCATCCCTCGTCATTTCAGCTCGGAATCAGGTCTTAAATCGTTGCTTATAGTTGTTTCGGATTCAGATCTCGGTTTGGGATTCTACGTATGGTTTGATTTAGATCCAATTCTCGCCGTTTAATCGTATGTTTCGTTTATAGAATTCCCATTTTACGGATTTAGAGTAGTGTATATATGATTCTATTGAAACTGTGCAAGAGGATGGTGGTGATTGACAGTTATAACCCTTTGAATTTGCAGTAGAGAAGAAGAAGGTGGAGGATGTGATGCCCATTGCAACTGGGCATGAGAAGGAGGAGCTTGAAGCTGAACTTGAGGTGATTGCTCGTTTTTATTGTCTGTTATATGCATTTTAACATATGTATATGAGTATGGCCCTGTTATACAAATGTACCTTACTGCAACTTCACCTGTGACTCTATTTGTTACACATGAATGAAGTTTTGGCATCATGATGGACTGTTTATATCTCTGCTTGATTGGAATCTTCAGTTGGAGTTAATCAAGTTTTAACTTTTTCATTTTTTTTCTTGGGGGCAGGGGAGGAGGCTGCTTGACATTGACTTCCCCGAAGGTCCTTTTGGAACTAAGGTTAGTTTGATTTCTATTACCTGAGATAGGTTGTAAGACTCACTTTGAATATGTTAATTAGATTCTCACCGCGGAGTTTACACATCATTGTTTCTAGGCAATTAGGCATCACCAGAAACTGTGGTATAAGTATAACGAAAGCAAACCTGTTTAACTTAGGACACTTAACTCGAGTATTGTAAATGGATTTATATTATATTCACATGTAGCTGTTTCGGTTACTTTTAGTAAGCGGATCAAATATTTCCTGATACGTATGTCTTCATCCAAATTGAGTTGTGTTCAGTTTTTTTTTTTTATTGACACATATGGATCAACTTCCATACTTTGTTTTTATCCGTATTATACCATTATCTTGGCATGCAGCAATCACTTCTGTTATGTCTATTTGGACCTCTTGTCTAATTGTCACACCGAACTTCTCTTGATTTTACTCTGGTTATATTTCCCAGTTTTTTATTTTATTTTGAGCTTGTGATATTAGTTCCCTGTAATAAAGCTCTATTATGGATTTGAATTTGAATTGTATGTGGGGTCTGGTGAGTTCAACAAGTCTCTAAATTGTGTTTGTCAGTTTACCTTGGTCCACTGTCTATGATACTTATGTCACATACAACATGTGCATGTGTCTGTAGACCATTGTTATTCATTTCTCAGTTCTTAAGTATCTTTTTTCTGCGCTGCTAAAAGCCATATAGGAGTATGGCTGTATGAGTGCTGAATTTCGCATGCTGTAGACTTTTGATATTTTCATTGTCTCATGTCATTTTATCTCTCAAGTGAGCTCTTTTGGCTGGCTTTTGTGAACCAATTTTGTCATGTTGTTGATTCCAAATTGTGTGTTTCCTTAGGAAGCTCCTGCTATTGTAAAGTCGTACTATGACAAGCGAATTGTGGGATGCCCTGGTGGTGAAGGCGGTAAGTTCACCTCGTATACTCAAAAGTGTTTTTGTCATTATTTGTTGTCTTTTATTGAATATTTCGTACATGTATTTAACAAACCAGTGTACATATTATCTACCAACGGTGTGTCTGATCTTTATAACTCCTGAAAAATGCAGAGGAGGAGCACGATGTTGTGTGGTTTTGGCTGGAGAAAGGAAAGTCTTTTGAATGTCCGGTTTGCACTCAGTACTTTGAGGTAAGTTAAACTCGTTTCAGATGCTCTAAATTGTAAACAAATCGAATAGAGTTTAATCTCATACTCATAGGCCAGACGAATTAGTAAAATGTGTATTGAGTTGGTTAAAATGTATGTGTTGCAGCTGGAAGTGGTTGGTCCTGGTGGACCTCCCGATGGTCACGGCGATGAAGACGATGAACACCACCACTGATTCCGACTGTCTCACTTTGCCGCGAGATTTACATTTTGTTTTCAGTTTTTTTTTTCTTTCACATATTTTTTGTTGGAATAAAAAAAATTCCACCGTTGGTGAAACAGCAGTTGAAAATGTTTTCGATCCTTCTGAAACAACACTCAGGTATCAGAGTTTCTAAGTGCCAGAACTCTAATGACCATGGTTTCTGTTTTTGTAACAACCCTTGAATCAAAATCGGTCTTTGCCTTTTGATCAGAATGTTCAGACCCTCTTCTTACTAGTCTACTGTGCCACAATATTTCATGAGATTAACGTATATATTGTCATTAACAGAACCATCTTGATTGCAAAACGTTTACTTTGTCAATCATAGTAATGGTTAAGAAGAATGTGAGACATCAATTCTTATGCTTCCACCACCAAGAAAGTGTTAACTCCATAAACAAGTTAAACGCTAACACAATCGAGACATCTGGTTAAAGGTTCTGTGTTCGAAACGGTGCTACTGTACATCACACGTGCCTAATATTCGCACGTACGAATTGGAATCTCTATTTTTCCACCCAGGGGAATATCAGAATCGTCTCTTGTTGAGTCATCGTTCGTCACACCATGTGGAGAAGAATCGTCTCCTCCGGTCTCAAAACCCTAGCCTCTGATGTCGCCGCCGCTTCTCATCCTCGTCGATCGATAACCGCCACCGCGAAACCTATTGGTTTCTATTTCGCTGCCAATCGATCAGCCATTTCTGCTTCTTCTTCTGCTTCTTCCGTCATCCCTCGCCATTTCAGCTCCGAATCAGGTGACACATCGTTGCTACAGTTTGTTTTTCAGATCTCAGCTTACGATTGATTTAGATTCAATTCTCGTTGTATACTTAGAGATGATTAATGCGTTTGCCTTAATGAACCAAGTAGATTGGTTTAATTAAATACTCATATATCTGATATGTGTTGTACTCTGTAGTAGGGACCCCTGCGAAGAAGGTAGAGGATGTAATGCCCATTGCTACTGGTCATGAGAAGGAAGAGCTTGAAGCTGAACTCGAGGTGATTTCTATTCTTTGAGTCTCTATTCTTCTTTTTTCAACATATGTATATGATTATGTTGCAAATGTGTGTTTATTTGTGATCATCACTGTCACCTTACTACTCTTTCTGCTTGATAACACGCTCCGTGTCATTGTTTTTATTTTTTCTTTTTTGTTGGGGATAGGGGAGGAGGCTGCTTGACATTGACTTCCCTGAAGGTCCTTTTGGAACCAAGGTTTGTTGAATCTCACGATATCATAGGGTTATTATGACTAGTCTGAATTCCGCATGCTGTATTAAACTTATAGCACAGTTGAGACATTTGATCATTTCATTTTTCTCGTGTCGTTGTAACTCTCTAGTGAGCAACATTTATTCCCGTTTGGTTATCAGTTGATGACTATTTTTTCATCTTATTGTTTTACCTTAGGAAGCTCCTGCTATTGTAAAGTCCTATTATGACAAGCGGATTGTGGGATGCCCTGGTGGCGAAGGAGGTAAATTTCATCCTTCCTCACTCTCTAGTGTCATAAAATGTATTGTTAATTATTATCTGTTTAGGTGAATTTGATAATATCTGTTAACCATTTGATTTGGTCTGAATTGCTGCAGAGGATGAACACGACGTTGTGTGGTTTTGGCTGGAGAAAGGAAAGTCCTTTGAATGCCCTGTTTGCACTCAGTACTTTGAGGTAAGCTCACAACCGTATCAGATTGCTCTTAAATGGTATTAAATAAACGAATTTGTAAAAGGATTAGCACAACTGTTGAATTGGTTATGTTTATGTTTTGCAGCTTGAAGTGGTTGGTCCTGGTGGACCTCCCGATGGTCACGGTGATGAAGACCATGACCACCACCACTGACTCTGGCCGTGAGTTTTGCTTTCTGATTTGAATTCACTTTCTTGAAACATTTTTAGATTTTTTTATGATTGGAATAAAAATATATATATGCCGCTGGTGTAACACAGTTGAAAATGTTTTTGAACCTATTAGAACATAACATTTCGGTATCGGAAGTTGTCAAGATGCCAAAACTCTCACGACCGTTGTTTACTTTTGTAAGAGCTCTTGAATCAGAATAACTCTTGCCTTTTTGGTTATTATATATTCACCTTTTTTTATTATAATGGTTTAATGTCTTATCATATTGGATGTTTAAATTTTGTCCTTGATTCCTTGTGAACGACCACACAGTTCAATTAAATATATCATCGAATAAACGATTTTGTTCCAACATTGTTCATTGATTTGGTTTCACATTTCCACCTTTCCTATTAATATACCACCCTGTGAAACTAAAACCTAACTAGCTATAAAGTACTAGAAAGGACAGTGCTATCGGAAAAATTCCCTAGAAATATGTTCTAATAAATCTCAAAAGTCTAATTTGATAAAAATGAAAAAGAAACAAATATCATGAAGAAAAAACGTTGGGTTCAATATTCCGTTTCTACCTAAGAGCATCTACATTTATGAACTGCCGACAGGGTTCATAAATTTTTTATTATTATTTTTTGTTTTGTTTTTATTTGTTTAAAAAAAAAAATTAGTCGACCAATCGTGGGTCGCCACGTGGCGTGGAGTCCACGCAAAAAGTAGTGAACTGGTTCACGCCAGAGAGTTTTTCTGATTTGAGTTCACCAATATTGTCTCATTTTATTATTTTTTTTCCTTGAAAATCGTGTGAACCTCTCTCTTGCGTCTTTAATGTAGATGTTCTAAGAGCATCTCCAATGTAAAGCTCCATTTTTTCCTCCAAAATGGAGTAAAAGTGATTATGGAGTAAAAATGTTCCAACCTCACTCTATTTGTAACTCCATAATGGAGTAGTGAACAAACAAAAATAGATTACTCCATTTATGGAGTAAATCTCATTCTGGAATAAGAAATGAAGTGGGGTTGGAACATTTTTTACTCCATAATCTCTTTTACTCTATTTTGAAGTAAAAAATGGAGTTGGGTTGGAGATGCCCTAAGACCCTGAATCACCATTGTCTAGTTTTCAACACAGCTTACCCTCACTACCAAGTACGTCAATAAGAAAAAATACATCAGTACTTTTTTTCGGAAAAAATACATCAGTACAATAGGTGGAAAAAACTATGAAAATAGAGTGTACTATGGATGTTGTTTGGAGATTTTGGATACAACTTTTGCTAACTTCATAACATAAAAATTGTGATATGCTTTTTAGTGAGTAGAAAATCATTTTGTCAGTAATTATATGTATATTAGCCAATCTTGAGTCACATACATCATCAATATAAATATTTTGAATAAAAATAAACTAAAAAAGTAAGGCTAAATATGCATATGTTCGTTTATTCAGATATTTTTTCGGATTCAGATATTATCTGTTCGAATTCAGATATTATATGTTCGAATTCAGATATCTAATCACTCTCAACTTAATACACGTTCGAATATTTTACCATTTTGGTTTGGGTTTTTGAGTCGGTTCGAATATCGGGTAAAATACCTAGGTCTACCAAGTGCCAACAGCTGATATTTTTCTTCACGATATAAATAATAATCATTCCATAACATATTAGAGATCTTTGTGGTAGAAATAGAAAAGGGGAAAAAAGGCAATTGTTACGCGTATGCTGCGTAACGTTTTCAATATCCCATGTAGCCATGTCCGTTGTTCAGTGTTCACTTGCTCTTCCTTTTTTTGGGTTTTAAAATTTAGCATGATCTTTTTTATTTATACTTATAGAAACTTTCATCTCAATATGTTTTGACAAAGATTTTCATTTCAATATGTAAAGTTGTAATCAGAATATAGGACCCTCTACATTAGCTTCAAATATATAAATATATAGTTTTTGCCTTTTGGGTGTATATGGTACATGAAAGTTGCATTGCTCGGACGGTCAGGTTCATTCCGAGATTATCATAGTGTAGTAGGCCACTCATAAAAACAGTGCCTAACAGAAGCGAGTAATGAAAAATCAAATGCTTTTTTGGTTTGTCGCTTCCCCCACACGAAGCGAGTAATGAATAAATACTTTATTCCCTCTCTCAATATCACCTCCAACTTTCCCTATAAATACACATTTCCCTTCCCTTACAGTCTCTTATATTTTACATCATTGCTTGTGTTTGTGCCATTTGAAATCTCTCTAACAAAAGTCACTACAACTCTCCATAATTGTAGTGAAAAAAGAATGAGCTATTCTAATCAAAGCATGGGTTCTGGTTTGTTTCTTCTTCTTGTTTGCTCTAACTTTACAGTGTTTGCTGTTGAGTTATGAAGTGTGTGTTACTGACAATGTGTGCTTGTAGTAATTCTGTTTTGTGATTGCTCTTCTTAAATATGTTTCTTGCAATATCCTTGTAGGTAGTAGAAGTGCAAGGGGATATGAGTTTGGAAGGACTTATGTTGTGAGGCCTAAAGGAAAGCACCAAGCTACTATTGTTTGGTTGCATGGTCTTGGTGATAATGGCTCAAGGTAATATAATGTTCTCTCTCACACTTCCCTTGTTATGATCATGCCTATTTCTTGAGTCAAGTCATAAAGAAATGATTAATCTCACCATGCTTCTCAATTTGTCTATGTTCTCTCTGCAGCTCGTCTCAGCTCCTAGAGAGCATGCCTCTTCCAAACGTAAGGTTCCATGAACACAACACACTTGGAAGTAATTTTCTGTAGTACTTAGAGCTCTCACTGAATGATTTCTGATAAAAACAGGTAAAATGGATTTGCCCAACTGCTCCCTCTCGTCCTGTTTCGCTTCTAGGTGGATTCCCTTGCACTGCCTGTAAGATCATCCAACTTCCAAGCTTCTCTAATTCCCAAGAAAACATTCCCTCAAAGCAGGTGGCTAAACGATATAAATCAAACTTTTTTGTTTCTCAGGGTTTGACGTGGGTGAAATATCTGAGGATCTTCATGATGATATTGAAGGATTAGATGCTTCAGCTTCACACATTGCTAACCTCTTATCAAGCGAACCCACAGATAGTATATTCATGACTCTAGCACCGCCCTTGATACATTCCATCATAATCTCTATCTTAACTTAAAATGTTCTTTGTGGTTTGTCTCAGTCAAAGTTGGGGTAGGAGGTTTCAGTATGGGTGCAGCAATAGCTCTATACTCCACGACGTGCTACGCTTTGGACGTTATGGAACAGGACATCCTTATACTATAAATATATGAGCTACTGTAGGACTCAGTGGTTGGCTTCCTAGTTGGAGGTATATTTTTTGGGGCATAATGTCACACTAGTTAATACAGAAGACTATGTAAGTGCAAAGATGACACCACAATAAGGTAATGCAGAAGATAAATCAAGAGACAAAATAGATACAAGCAACACCTTTGCTTTATTAGAAATCATCTTTAAACAATCTATTACAAGACTTGCTTATCAGCTTTACACAGCCTGTTAACACCCTAACAG